TTTCGCAATTGTTTGGTATCTTTTTAAAAATTGTGTTTTCTAATTGTTTGTGGCTGGTGTATACAGATACAATTCACAATTATATATTGATCCTATATTTAGCCACCTAACAAAACTCTTCAATTATGTCTAACTCGAGGCCCGATGCACGAAATTTGTGCAGGAGTAGGCCTTCCTTCCCCCAGCTGCCAGTACCAGCTTCCCTCTGGCACCCAGGACCAGGGCTTCCCTCACAGCCCCGGCTTCATCGGAAGGTTGTCCTGAAGGACTTCTGGTCTAATTACCATATTATGCTTTTATTATTATAATTTGATGGAAGACTTTTTTTGGGGGGGGAAGAGGTGTTCTATGTAGACAATCACATAATCTGCAAATAATGACAGTTCTACTTCCTCCTTTCCAATAATACCTTATTTATCTCATCTTACAGCAATGGGTAGCATTTCTAGTACAATGTTGAATGGAAGTGAGGATAGTGATCATCCTTGTCTCATTATTAACTTTCAAGGGAATGCTTCTAATGTTTCCCCCTTTAGGATGGTGTTTATTTCAGGATTTTTGAAGATATCCTTTACCAAGTTGAAAAGTAGCCTTCCACTTACAGTTTGCTGAAAGTTATTAATGGGCATTTCTATTAAAAATTGTGTACCTACTGATCAATTGGTTTTTCACTTTTATTCTCTAAATGGCAAGATTTATAAATTTTCTAATATACCATCTTCACTTTTCTCAGTTAAATGCCACTTGGTCCATATGTCACATTGTTTACTTTGCATATATATTCATGACTAAAATGGTCCTATAATTTTCCTTTTCTGTATTGTCCCTATCTGGTTTTATCACCCAGGTTATACTGGTTTTGATGTAGATGTATGTTCTCTAGAATTTATGTAAGATCAGAATAACCTATTCAGTTTGGTGAAACCATCTATGCCTAGTTATCTTTGTGGTTAGATGTCTAACTATTTCCTTACCTTTATACTATTTAACATTGCTTAGGCTTCTGATTTCTTCTTAATAAAAATATAACATTTTCTAGAAGTTCTTCCATTCTGCCTAAGTTGTAAAGCCTGTTGACCTGTTGTTCATATATTCATCTGCTGAACAGCTGTAGTTTATGTAGTGACTACCCTTTGTGCATTTTCTCTTTTTCCATGATAAACCTGCTCAAATTTTTGTCCATTTTGTTAACCTTTTCAGAGTTGTTGACCCTCTGTTGCAATCTTGTTTTCTCTACTTCTGCTCTTATCCCTTTTATCCTGTTCTTTTGTAGCTTCTTTAATTGAACACTCAACCTATTTTTAAAATGCAAATAAGGATTTACGACTATAAAATTTCCCTTGAACCATTATTTTCTCTGAATCCTCTATTTTGATATTTACTATTAGCGCTTAGCATTTTAAAATGTATTTCCATTATTTCCTTCCTTTATTATTTCTATTCTCTTATTGTCTTCTTGATGAACTCAATTTTTAGCATTATGTAGTAACTATATCTTACCCTAATACTGCATTTGTCTTAATGTCTACTTTGTCTGATAACAGTACAACCAACAAGTTTTGGTGTGTGTGTTTTTGGTATTTTCCTGATAACAGTTAACATTCAATATTATTTTACATTAGTTTCAGATGTACAGCATAGTGGTTAGACATTTATAACATTTATGAAGCGATCCCCCAATAAGTCTAGTACCCAACTGGCCTCACACATGCTTATTGCATTATTATTGACTTAACTCTCTGTGACTATTTTGTTAACTGCTAATGGGTACTTTTTGTTGTTGTTGTTAATCTCCACGCGAGGAGATTTTTTCCATTGGTTTTTTAGAGAGAAGGGAGGGGAGGGGGAGAGGCAGAAGAGAGAAACATCGATGCAAGAGAGACACATCGACTGGTTGCCTCCTGCACGCCCCCTGAGCAGGGCCCAGGAACGAGCCTGCAACCCTTCAGTCTGCAGGCTGACACTCTAACCATTCAGCGACCAGCTAGGGCCCAATTTGTACTTCTTAATCCCTTAACCTTTTTCATCCTCATGGATGTCTTTTTTCTATATTTTCTTTTAAACACTTTCATGTCCTTCTGCTTTGTCTATAAATATATCTTATAAATATAACTTAACCAATTTGACTATCTTCTTCACTTGCGAGTTTCTCTCACCATCATAGAGCATACTTTTAAAACTGTTTTTAAACAGCTTTGAGATATAATTCACATACCATATAAATCACCTTTTAGCTGTACAACTAGCATTTTAAAATGTATTTCCATTATTTCCTTCCTTTATTATTTCTATTCTCTTATTGTCTTCTTGATGAACTCAATTTTTAGCATTATGTAGTAACTATATCTTACCCTAATATTGCATTTGTCTTAATGTCTACTTTGTCTGATAACAGTACAACCAACAAGTTTTGGTGTGTGTGTTTTTGGTTACTAGTGGTTACATCATCTTAACTTTTCATTTCCACATCAATTTTTCCTTTTTCTCTCTTTTTCATTGATATCCATCTTCTTCTAACAAGAACTTTGTCTTCATGCTCTCTGGTTCCTCCCACTCCATGTGTTGAAATTATAAAAAAATTTTAGTTCTAGATTGTTACTGATATACTTTATTTTCTTTAGTCCTACTTTTTAAAAAAAATGGTTTGAAATGAGAGAGAGAGGGAGGGAGGGAGGGAGAGAGAGAGGGAGGGAAATATTCCATCTATTGGTTGCCTCCTGCATACACCTCAACTGGGCATTGAACCTGAAACCTAGGTATGTGCCCTGACCAGGAATCAAACCCACCACCTTTTAGTGTACACTGTACAGGATGATGTTCCAACCAACTAAGCCACCCGGCAGGGCAGTCCTACTTTTTATTTATGCTTTTTAAAGTTATCAACAAATTTTCCCTAAGTATCTGATCATTTTTCTTTCTTCCCAGATCTCTCATAGTATCTCCTGGATTGATTTCTCTTTATATTTAAGTGCTTTCTCCAAAGGCATTTTTAATTTCCATCTTTTGTGTGGAAAATATTCTGCAGCTCTGAAAGTCTGAGAACATTTTTATGATGCCCTTACATTAGAATACCTATTTATCAGGACATAAAATTCTAGGGTCAAAGTTCTTTTCATGTTCAATTTCAGAGTCTTGAGCTGGCATGGTAATTATTGTTTCACTATATCATTCTCAAATGTCCTTTTGTCTGTGGACTCCAGTCCATCCTGGTGACTGAGACTTCTACAGGTAAAGCTGACTAAGCCTTTGAGACAGGACTGAATACCAGCTCTCATACAGTGCTGCTGTGAATATAAGTTGATTCAACTTTTCTAGAGGGCAAGTAGGCAATACAGATAAAAAAATATAAAATACTCATATACCTTGCTTGACCCAACACTTTTACTTCTAGGCATCTACAAGAAGTAAATTAACCCAACAATATACTCATCACAGCACTTTGATATGAAAAAAAATTAATCTAATCTACAAACACAATTAAATGATATTAACATCCTATAATCAAAACCTTAGTGTGGTTAGATGTATAGAAAAATATTTAAATTTTTAAAGTAAGAAAGTCTACTACTAGTTTCAGAACTATGTACATGTAGATAAGAAATATTTGAAAGCTGAAAGGCCATTCTTCTTCAAAAATATTAGCAGTAGCTTTCTCTAGATGAGGAGATTGATTTGTCATTTCTTCTTCTTGCTTTTCTATATTTACTATATTTCTACCCTGAAACACTTCCTTTTATAAATACTTTTAATCAATAATTTCTCCATACGATGTCAGTTTTACAGTTTGGAACTTAGAGATCAAGTGATTCTATGACCAATGTATACTCTGCATATATACAGTGTATACTCTGCAACCACACTCCCCTTCAAAGTCCCTGGTGCACACATCAAACTCCTTATTTATCTTTCTATCCTTTCAACACCATTTACAGTGCTCAACATATACAAAGTAGGAATATATTACATCAAGATGTTCAAGAATGCATTTCTGGGATAAGATGTGACTGTCCTCTATCTATTCTATTTAACTAGAGGCCCAGTGCACGGAATTCATGCATTCGGAGGGGGGCGTCTCTCAGCCTGGCCTGCACCCTCTCGCAGTCTGGGAGCCCTCAGGGGATGTCCAACTAAGCCAGCAGTCAGACATCCTTAGTGCTGCCACAAAGGCAGGAAAGGCTCCTGCCACTGCCACTGCACTCACCAGCCGTCAGCCCAGCTTCTGGCTGAGCGGCGCTCCCATTGTGGGAGCACACTGACCAACAGGGAGCAGCTCCTGCATTGAGCGTCTGCCCCCTGGTGGTCAGTGCACATCCTAGCGACCGGTAGGTCCACCATCGGGCTGAAATTGGCTCTCCAACATCCCCCTAAGGGTCCCGGATTGTGAGAGGGTGCAGGCCAGGCCAAGGGACCCACTGGTGCATGACAGGGGCCGGGAGGAATGTGGGAGGTTGGCCAGCCGGGGAGGGACTGCAGGAGGGCTCCAGGGCATGTCCAGCCTGTCTCAGTCCCAATCAGCCGGACCCCAGCAGCAAGATAACCTACCAGTTGGAGTGTCTGCCCCCTGGTGGTCAGTGCACATCATAGCAACTGGTCAGTTGGTTGACTGTCTGCCCCCTGGTGGTCAGTATACCTCATAGTGAGCAGTTGAGTGGCCTTAGCATATCATTAGCATATTACACTTTGACCAGACAACCGGACACTTAGCATATTAGGCTTTTATTATATAGGATTAATCACCATAAATAAAGGGATTCTTTAAATTACAAAGAACAGAATGATTAAAACAGTGACTTTCAAACAGAAGTCTCTTTAAATAAAATATTTTTTTGAATTCCAATATGTAAAAACAAAATCATCTTAGTGGAGACAGAAACTAATCCTATCCACTCAGCCCTCTTCTTTGCTTCCCACAGGTTGCTGGGAAGTTTGAAAACTATAATTCAATACATTTAACTGGCCCCACATGCTGTGTCAGAGCTAGAAGAGAAAGCAAAAACACATTTGATCTAGTATTTATTTATTTAGCTTTTTTTTGTGACTATAAATTACAATCACTAGGACACCTGTAATTCATTATAGTGTGTTCAACTAAAGAACAAGCAGACACAGCACAGGCCAGTTTAAAAGAAATCACAGTACTTCTTGGTGTAATTTGCAAAAGGGGGGGAAAGTCCTGGGCCCACACCGTGGAAATAAATATCACGTAACCATGAAAATATTCAGCCACTGTCCAGGTATCAGGGAGGTTCGTGCATGGTCCCAGGCAGAGGATCAGAGTTCCTCTTTGAAATATCCCAGCTTTGCCAGTGACATCTCTTTTCTCAACTGCATAACCTCCCAAAACATGTGGTCAACTATGCAAACAAAAGAGAGAGACACATAAATTATAAAATACCATCTTAATTATTTTTAATTTATTTCAATGAAAATTTAAGATGAACTCAAATGCCTGTTGGCATTTCCTAATGACATACCTAATTGCTTAGACATTCCATCACTGCTTCACACAAACTTCTTCATATATTTGTGAGCACCCCAATTTTATTAATAAATAAGCAGTACTCAGCCGTTTACTACCACTATTTGTTAGATGGATCAGTGACTGCCACACTTTAGCCCAACAGAAGGTGTACATTTCACTGTCCTGAGTAAATGGCAATGCTGTTGCCTTCGCAAGTAATTACACTCAATGCTCAGTTATGCAGGAGTTATCTAACTTCTAGATCTTCTTGCTCTAGTTTGCTATATCTTGGCCATTTCACTTTTCATTAATACTAACAGAGAGTGAAAAGGAAAACAAGACAGTCCAGAGAAGTCAGTAACATTCTTTGTGCCTAATAGGGAAATTTTTATATATGGCTCAAATAGAAATAAAAACAAATGTAGAGGGTGATGTGTAAATTTCCATTAGCTCTACTTGTGAGCCCCTCTGTAAGTAGCAAAAAGATGGCTCTATATTTCAGACTATAAAACCTGACATATGATCAGATTAGACTGATTAGAGCAGTGGTTCTCAACCAGGGGAGAGTCAGTCCTCAGGGGTTCATCTGGCAATGCCTGGAGACGTATTTCATTGCTGGCATCTAGTGAGTGGAGCCCGGGGACACTGTTAAACATCCTACAATGTACAAGATCATCCCCACAAGGACTTACCCAGTTCAAAATGTTAACAGTACAAGGGCTGAGAGACGCTGCTTTCGCTTTAACTGCTCTAAATTCTTTCTGGCACCGGCACAGACAATAAACAGATTTTCACATTAATATTTATTTACTACAAACCCACACAGTATATGACGTGTATCAAATACAGTCAAGTAGAAGAGTGATGGAAACCAGAGAAGAAACTACTTTTATCACCATCGCTCATGATTCTTTCTATTTACATAAAGTAAATTATCTTTCAGCCTTCTCTACAAAAATATTTCCCATTTTAACAAGGAGAAAAAATAAGCTTGACACTTGAACATAACATAAATCATCTGTTCTCCAGCTTAAGTCCTATTATTCACCAATAGGATTCAAAAAGACTTCAATTTTATTAAAGTCATAAACAGTATTGCAGAGCTTAAAGACTATTTTTATGCTACACAGCCTTTGGAAATTTAACGTTAGAGACAGGTTTCACCTTTATTCTTTTAGGCATTAAAATCTAATTATATGGGATTCTAACTAAATATGACTGTTTTAGTATACCAGAGCTTGAGAAATGCTAAACTACGTTATTATGGGCATGACTAATTTTTCCAGAGAATTAAGATTCACTGGTTTACCTGATAAAAATAGAAGGCTTCTTATTAGTTTTCAAGTGTAAAAATATTTTCAGTGTCTAAAAAATATATAAACAGAAAAATTTCCCACAACTTCACATACAAAACTGGCATGGCCTTGTCCTCGCCATGTGTGTGACTTTTGGTCTAAGACAATCATGTGTACCTATGAGGCGCTGCTTTAAAGCTGTCAGGCGCATCTGTTTTTATGCTGGTACTTAAGACACTGGGCTATAAAACCATCATTAACCATGAAAGACATGAAAACACTTGCATGAGGGTGGCTCTCCTGGATAGATCATCTGCCTGTTTCTGCTCATTTAGAACATAGCAATCTTTATTCCATTCGGAATTATCTTCATGACTGCTTTATTAATGTGAAAATACAGGACAAAATTGCTAGCTCCTCATGATTTTCACCAATTAAAATAAATCTGACCACGTCTGGAGTTTGCTCATTTTTCTCTCTTACGGAGTAAATTCAATGAGCTTTGTACTCCTCTCACATACCAGCTGGCTTATCTATACCTCTTAAGAGTTAAAACTGAGCCTGCTTTAAAACTCAAAATCAGAGTAAAATGAAGCAAATATAAGGATTAAACACAGTATGTTTTAAAATAGACATTTGTTCCCAAATTCTCCACACATTTTATTAGAACTATAAGACACTCAATATAAATATACCAGTAATAAAATTTATTTGAGCATCACTACTGTGCCCTATACTTTTTACTGAACTATTATATAAATATTTCATAACTAGAAGCCCAGTGCATGAAATTTGTGCACGGGTGGGGGGGGGTGGGGTGGGGGGCGTGGGTGTCCCTCAGCCCAGCCTGCACCCTCTTGCAATCCAGGACCACTGGCTCCTAACCACTCGCCTGCCTGCCTGCCTGATCGCCCCTAACCACTCTGCTTGATTGCCCCTAACTGCTTGCCTGCCTGCCTGATCGCTCCTAACTGCTCACCTGCCTGCCTGATTGCCCCTAACCACTATCCTGCCTGCCTGATTGCCCCTAACCACTCTGCCTGCCTGCCTGATTGCCCCAACCACTCTGCCTGCCTGCCTGATCGTCCCTAACTGCTCACCTGCCTGCATGATCGCCCCTAACCACCTCTGCCTCGGCCCCCACCGCCGCAGCTTCATCTGGAAGGATGTCCAGAATGACGTCCAGAAGGTCGTTCAGCTGTCTGGTCTAATTAGAATTTTATGCTTTTATTATTATAGATGAATAAAGAACTTACCATCCTGCTGTTTCACAAGTCCCTGCTGAATATAGCGAATGTATGTAAAAAAGTTACACACAGACGTGATCTAGGCCAAAAGGAGAAAATGTCATAAATATCAAATGTCTCATATCAGTGAGCTTTATTAAAATTCATTATTACATTACTTACCCTGTATCTACAAAAAGGAGAAATATAATAATAGTTGCTTGAATCTCCTAATTTAATTCTGTGTTTACAGGATTTACTCTGGCCAGTGAGAGCACATTTTCTGTAAAAGAATGATACATTTTAGTTTTTTAAAATTAAAGGCGTTTTGCCCCTACCTTTGTACAAGCTGAAGAAAACAAATATTTGAGAACCTACTATGGACCAGGCACTGTTCTAGATGCTGGGCTATCAAGATGAGAGAGACCAAGTCCCTCCCCTTTTGGGGTTAACATCCTAGTATATGCTTAATAGCCTAAAATTAACCATGGCCTAGAAATAGAAACTAAATGTTTTAAATATATGTCCTATCCTGAAGCAAATAGGAGTAATCTGATACAGGAAGCTCTCAGCTTTCCATCGGAACTTCAGCTTCTGAGTTGGAAAAACACCTAATGATGATTACTCAAGTCTCAGAACATGTTACTAATTGCTTTCAGGACAGTAGCTTCCAGGTAAGGTACTTTCTGGTGTGTTTGGTTGTTTACATGCATTTCCTGTGGCAGACCTGAGAAATACAAGGAATACAAAAATACTGACTCTGAACAATTACATAAAGGGTGCATTACATTTAGACATACATCCTTTCTATTTACAGAATATAAAATCTAAATTTGGTTGGAATCAGGCTGTAAACCTCTTGAGGGCAGTAACTGTATCATATTCATCTTTAGGTGCCTGGCACCAAGCATGTTTCTGGCTGTTGGTTAAGTGACAGACCACCTGTCACTCACCCTACTGCTCAGGATGAAGCTGACTTGTCTATCTGGCTGGACTTGCAGCAGCTCAGCTATCCCTCTAGTAAGTTAGGAGCTTGGTTGAATACAACTACCACTCCCTATCAATGCAAAATTACTGTAGCTCTAAGTAAAATAAAGTGGCCAACAGCATTTTATATGACATTACAAATTAAATAGTAAAGAAAAATATATTAAATAAACATTAAATTTCAGCTATACTTATAAGAAATGACAAAAATGTGTCTCCATATAAGAAAACACATGAAGAATGTATATTTAACACAGGATAATTTGGGAGGTGGCCATTCCAATCACAAAATAATTTTTATCTTTTCAAACAAATTTTGCCTCATTGTTCCTTTATTAGTAAACTAGAGGCTCGATGCACGAAATTTGTGCACTGGGTGGGGGGGGAGGGTGGTCCCTCAGCCCGGCCTGCGCCCTCTTGCAGTCCGGGAGCCCTTGGGCCTAAGCCGGCAGTTGGCCACTGCCACTGCACTCGCCAGCCATGAGCCTGGCTTCTGGCTGAGCGGCGCTACCCCCATGGGAGTGCACTGACCACCAGGGGGCAGCTCCTGCATTGAGCGGATTCCCCCTGGTGGTCAGTGCATGTCATAGTGACTGGTTGTTCCACCGTTCAGTCAATTTTCATATTAGCTTTTTATTATATAGGATTCCTTTAATTATCTATAAAAATGTTTTTTAAAAACACTAAACTATTAGCTCAGGGAGGATAGAAGATCAAGAAATTTAAGGCACAAGTTTTGAAAGCCTTTGGAACTTCAAAAAGTATAATTTACACAAGAGAAAAAAAGTACCATCAAACTGATAAAAATAAATTTATACACTATCCTTCTGGAAGGAGAATATACCTGTTTGACTACTATTTTGTCTAATTTTGAAAGGCTCTGCTACAGTGATTTTAAATATCAAATTTTAAAATAAAGTGTTCAACTTATCTCATTTGTAAAGCCATTTGTAAACTATCACAGCCAATATATTTTCATTTGAGCTGGGATTCAATGCCTAGTCTTCCGACCTCCAACTGCAATGTTTTGTTAACATGCTGCTACACTATTTCAGTATCTGTTAACAGCTGTGTCCCAAGATTTCAAATCCTTGCTTGCCATTTCACTTGTGATGTCCACATGTTTAAACCCAGACCTATCACCTTCCCCAAAGCAGAGCCCTTCCTACTCATTCCCCAAAGACCACATCATTCTTATAGTCAGTCATCTCTAAGTCCTTTGTCTTCGACCATCCCCTACTATCATCTCCTAAATTTTCTTTCTTTAGATTTGTCACATCTTTCCTCTCCCTACACTCGCCACCCTCTGAACACACCATTTCCTTGGTCAAGGCTTTCAGTCACATGTATTGTTCTTTTCCTATCCAAATTCCATCTATGCTTCAGAACCCCAGGTCAAATCTCCCTCCCTCCAAGAACAGCCCCTGATCACCACCACTGGACTCCCTGCCTTCCTCAAAACTCCCATAGTGCCCTACCATTCACTTCATAACCTTGTCCACGACAACCCTGGCCAAGACCACACTTCACATTTCATAAAAGAGGACAGTATCTGCCTTCAAGTGTTTTCCCACACAATATGCACTAAGAACAAAAATGGGTTTCTGGCCCTATTCCCACAAGTACAATATCCTTAACTATGTAAACTGCTTCCTGATCTACATAACTATTTTACTAAAATACTATATAAATCCACTTAAACTGATATCCTCATTTGTCATTTGCACATGTGTGATATATTATGCAGGCCTGAATTTAAAATTTTACAATAAAAACTATTATATACTATGTTTAAAATAAGTTATAACACAGACCTTAAAAGCACAAAACTGCTCGCTTTTTAAAAAAATATATATATATATATATATATTTTATTGATTTTTTACAGAGAGGAAGGGAGAGGGATAGAGAGTTGGAAACATCGATGAGAGAGAAACATCAATCAGCTGCCTCCTGCACACCTCCCACTGGGGATGTGCCCGCAACCAAGGTACATGCCCTTGACCGGAATCGAACCTGGGACCCTTCATCTGCAGGCCGATGCTCTATCCACTGAGCCAAACCGGTCAGGGCAAAACTGCTTGCTTTAATGATCACAAACACCTGTTTGTGGAGGCATAGAATTTAAGAACGTAAATACCCTCCCCAGTTTCGGAGGCCACAGTGCCACAGGTGTAGCACAGAGGGAAATGTAGAACAGGACACAACTCTAGGTGGATGTACAGCTCACAAAGCGAAGGCATGACTAAGTCCCTCCACAAATGATTGCCCAACTACCAGCACTATGTGATCCTAGTAAGACTGTAATTTGCATTAAGAGGAACAGGATAAATCATACACCTCCCACAATAGGCTTTAACCAGTCCTATGGTGATTCTCAAGCAGCTTTTTCCTCTTGTACCTTCAAAATGACCCAGACAAGAGTCATTTACTGCCTTCTACGACCTTCCCAGTCCCCTATATTAATCTAGTTCCAAACCACCAACTCAGCAGCTTCCTCAAAATCTTTCCAAGTCACTTTTTAAACAGCAGTGCCAAAAGTTCTAGGTCCTGTTCATTTCAGTCTTTGTTCCTCCTCGGACTAGATGAAAAAAGCCTGCCCTGCTGTGAAATGCGGGATTCTAACCTCTAAGGATTTATAAGTGCAGAATCTCTCATGGGTAGAAGACAGAACTGATTATTTACCAAAGTGAGAATCCTTTATGACAGCATGAAAGGAGAGGGCTAATTACGTCATTTTCATGCTTGGTAAGACTTGGTCTAAATCGCTGTCTTCCCAAACTAATTTTGATGGTAACCCTGGGGAATAAATATTTTACACAGAAACCGAGGAGATATATATATATATATATATATATATATATATATATATATATATATATACACACACACACACATACATATGGTGTCCTAAAAAATGTATACACATTTAAACAAGTGATAACTCAATTTTCACTCCTTTTCAGGTTTAACTGATTTGAAATAATGGGCGAAGCCTGACTAAGCCTTGAACAAAGAAATTTATTCTAAAGTGTCTCTAGACATTTTTTTAATGGGGACACATAAAAGACAAAGTTTACAATACAGAAGTGACAACAGTCAATGACTTGAGGGTGCACAAATACTGAACTAAATGATTCTTAGTGTTTGTGATTTCTTAATGTTTGTGATTCCATTGTTTCACATTATTAGCAGTGCTTGGACCAGAATGGTCATCAGTTTGAAAACGGGCATTGATTTATGAGACTGACGCGCTGCCTGTTGCGCTAAGAGGGCGCCGGCATCGGGCATTGATTTAAAAAAATTATTCACTTCTATAGATTCTTTTAAATTTTGAAAATGAACTGTATGTTAATAAACACTGACTTTATAATCATTCACCAAAGTGTGTATACATTTTTGGGGGACACCCTGTATGTATAACAAACAAAAATTCTACTTATAACCCACTAAAGCAGGGGTGGGGAATGTCCGACCCACGGGCCATATAAAGCCCAGGAAATCATTTGGTGTGGCACTGCCAAGACAACCACAGGCAGGACTCAAAATTCAGTAAATCTAAGAGCTTTTCCATAGCGACATACACTTATACTAAGTAAATCTTAATAAGCGAATGACGTTACAAATATTCAGATGGTCCTTAGCAGAAAAAAGATTCCCACCCCTGCACTAAAGTGACTTCATGATCAACTAATGGGTCATGACATGTGTTTTAAAGAAAAAGTTTCAAACACCTGGTCTACCTGGATCCCTAACATCCTAATATATAAAAACCCTGGGTCCGTCACAACCGGAGGCTCAACCAATGGAAAGTCAGTCCTGTAGTCAGTGCTGGGTTGCTGTGGCAACCCAGCACTGACTGCTGCGGCTGCAGGCGTGGTGACCCAGCACTGACTGCTGAGGGGGCTGCAAATCAGGCCTGGAGAGAGGCTGAAGAGAGAAGCAGGGTCTGATCCGTAGCCTGTGTAGCAGCTGTTGATCAGCACTTGCCTCTTTCTTTCACTCTGGGCCAGCAGCCGGGCCTCCATTTCTCTCCAGGCCTCCACGGGGGCGCTGGCGACAGGCCCAGAGATGCGGACTGGCATAGGAACCGACCAATCAGAACCATATCTGGGTGAAGTGTGAAGAGCCAATGGCTGCCTAGGAGGTGGAGCTTTTGACACTGACTGGCATAGAAACTGACCAATCAGAACCAAATCTGGGTCAACTGTGAGGAGCCAATGGCTGCCTAGGAGGCAGAGCTTTTGACGCTGACTGGCATAGAAACCAACCAATCAGAACCAAATTTGGGTGAACGGTGAGGAGCCAATGGCTGCCTGGGAGTTAGAGCTTTTGACACTGACTGGCATAGAAACCAACCAATCAGAACCAAATTGGCAGTTAGGGGCGAGATCAGGCCTGCAGGGGAGGGCCATTGGGACGAGATCAGGCTGGCAGGGGAGGGAAGTTGGGGCAAGATGAGGCCGCAGGGGAGGGCTGTTGGGGGCAACCAGGCCTGCAAGGGGAGGGCAGTTAGGGGAAACCAGGCTGGCAGGGGAGGGTAGCTGGGGGTGAGATCAGGCCAGCAGGGGAGGGCAGTTAGGGGTGATCAGGCAGGCAGGGACAGTTGGGGGCAAGATCAGGCTAGCAGGGAGGGCAGTTAGGGGCGATCAGGCAGGCAGGCAGGTGAGTGGTTAGGAGCCAGCAGTCCCAGGTTGTGAGAGGGATGTCTAGCAGTCAGACATCCCTCAAGGGGTCGCTGATTGGAGAGGGTGCAGGCTGGGCTGAGGGAATCCCCGTCTCTATGCACGAATTTCGTGCATCAGGCCACTAGTCTATATATATAAAAGCTTAAGCGACCAGTCGACTGGCCAGTAGCTATGACCACCAGGGGCCAGACGCTCAACACAGGAGCTACCAAGTGACAGCAACTTTGCAGAGCACCCTCTCACACTCCAGGACCCCTCAGGGGATGTCAGACTGCCGGTTTCAGCCCGATCCCCGCAGGCCAGGCCGAGGGACTCCACTGGTGCAGGAATCCATGCACCAGGCCTCTAGTATATGTATAATTTTGTAATTAAAAGGGCTCCTCTTTGATTCTAATTTGAAATGCTATATCCCACACTGTCTGGAGATTTGTGCTTGAGCGGCACAGGCTCTAAATAGAAAACTAACAAGACATTTAACCATATTCAAAACTAGAAAAACTAAATAACTACAACACGTACAAATTTTAAAACTCAGTATCTTCCACAAGACAAGGTTTTGAAAACATACTTTGGTCCTCCACATTCGACTGCAGAAGCTTTCACAAATCGAATAGGTTGTAATCCCACCGGTTCAATGCTTAGAGTATTGTTTTCCACAGCCTCCAAAACAGCTGAAGCCAACTTAAAAAAAAAAAAAGTATTAGACATTATGCTGGCAGAAAAATATCAAATTTGTATTCTACAGTCAACTTATTTTTAAAATTCTTTCTCCAAGTTCCACTAGCTTGGCCTTAGCCAATGGGGGGGGGGGGGGGGGGGGGGGAGGAAAGAAACCACGTAACCTTGGTTTAAATTCTTTTATACAATTCAAACGTTGTTATGAAAGGCAATTCAGTTACAGCTAAATAACTTTTCTCATTATCTGGAAGAGGATTAAAGGCATTAATTCCAATCTCTGTTCAACCTTCCTCACAATTCAATTAACATCTACTGTTAATGCAACTTCAAAATGAACATTGTAATGTTTTATTTTGCTAAATATATGCAATTTTTAATATTGGCCATTCATAACACAGCAACATATACTAATAACAGCTATATATTTTCTGAACATGCATTTATGTGTATAAGAGTCTACAAAAGAATTAACAGAATTATCAAATATTAAATGCCCAGATGGAGATGGTAGCAAGTCAATGAAACAGGCAATGAAACTCCAGTGTGGCAAAACTATTAATATTGAATGGCCTACCTAAAACCAGGCACAGAGCCACAATGAATAACACGTCTACATATCAAGTGTTTTACTGCTCATCTTAACATCTCCTTACAAGTGATGTTATCATTAAATCCTCTAAAGACTTAACATAAATAAGACTTTTAGGATTAACTATCTTAAACACTGATTGGCATGATATTTACATATACACCTTCCCCAAACAAGTTAAAATTATGATCTTACATGTGTACAGGGCCTTATATTTTTAAAAAGTGTTTGTCTATCTACCTCATTCACTTCATTTTATCCTCTTAACAACCCTATGCTATAGACAAGGAAGGCATTTTTCCCCACTTTAAAGATGAAGAAACTGAATATAATTTTTATCATGTACAAATAAACTCAACAAATATCTTAGAGTGTAGAAGTTCCCTTACACTGAAGCCTGGACTGAGAATCAAGAATAAGCCCTACCCCCAACACATATTTAATACTTTACTCCAATGTAACACACAATGCAGTGTGAATGATCCTCTGCTCAAATAAGAAAAGCACTTGAATGCCAAGAAATTATGATCCTGATATGAAATAGGAAAAATGGTAAAACATGACATTTTATAAAAACTTATTTATATAAGAGTTATTAAAATATATTAACGTGATTTAATAGAAGGTACAGGAACACCTAATGCATTCTATTAAATTTTTTTAAAATTACCTCACTTTTGGAGAATGTTAAACATGGAAAGATATCTTCCTGATAGATTTTGTCTAAAAAAGGACACGTTCTGTCCATTGTGGGTTCATCCTTCCAAGATCTGAATTCATTATACAGAGACAAGTCAGCCTGGCAAACCAAAAGAAAATACAAAATAACCTGTTAAAAAGTACAAATATAAAATTACTTTATACAACAAAACCTATTTAAACATTACTGAAAAAGAAATACTCTTCATTTAAAATAATAAACTGAACCATTCTTGATTAGTTATAATACTTGGTAGCAATTTTTCTTTTAAAAAAAATCCAAACTCCCACATGACTAATTGGCCCTTTTCAATGTACCCACTATGGTATTTTAATGATGCTATCATTATCCCTCCCAAAAATTAATGTGGAGCTCCTCTTAAAATACATGTGCACACTGTCCTAAATATATTAAAAAAAAATGATGACAAGTCTTTTTTGAAAATAATCAAAAATTAATTTGGACTCTAGTTAATTAAATAAAATGTTTGCATAAAGTAAGACTGATTAAATTGTGAAACCAGAAGTTTGGGGTTAAAAATTATGCTAATTATTCTAATATTACCTGAGGGCATTTCCAAAGGAATTTCCATAGTGTTTATTGTATAAGCAGCAAGACTAAAAGAAGCACACCTATAAGCCTCCTAAATTGACTAGCTTGAAATATAACATTTATTTAGATATCTTTTTTGGTATATGAATATCCAGTAACCACCAACTGAATCATCAAAAATAATCCAGATTTGCACTAGCCTTCCCATTCACTCTTCCAGTTGTCCCTCTCTTTCCCTCATCTTAACATCTCTTTACAAGTGATGTTATCATTAAATCCTCTAAAGACTTAACATAAATAAGACTTTTAGGATTAACTATCTTAAACACTGATTGGCATGATATTTACATATACACCTTCCCCAAACAAGTTAAAATTATGATCTTACATGTGTATAGGGCAACTAATTTTCCCCAAGTATTTTTTCACTACAGATTTCCTAATCCAGCTTAATACCACCTGTGAACACACAAAGCTGTACCTACCTTCAGTCACCCAAACAATCATGTCCCTCAGTCTCCTGCAAGTCTGAAGTGCCCTTGTCCAGAAGCATTGGACACTGTAAGTGAGGCACTGACACACCTCTGACCTCTAGGATAGCTGAGTCAGAGGTGGAGGTGTCCACAGTAAAGTAATGAAAGGCTGAGCGTATCCAACCTATCCTACAGACTTTCTTTTATGGTGGATAATGGCAATCTGTGACATTTTTTCATCCCAATCCATAAATTCTTTGAATCAAAGCTAAAAGCTAAAGGATAAAAATATTAGCAGATAAGTAATACTTACATTTTCAAATTAATTTTCTTTGTCAAATTTACCCTTTAAGGCAGTGGTAGCCAACCTCTCGGACCTCATGGACCACCAGTGGTCTGCGGACCACCAGTTGGCAACCGCTGCTTTAAGGAATATAAATGCCAGAGCACGTAAGTGGTGCTCTAAGGAAAGATTCTAGTTTAAAGGCAATAGCTTAAACTATTTATTAAAAATGGACTCACTGCCAGGAACTATGGTAAGCACTTCATAAACATTTAATACTCACAGCTACATGAGATAGATATTATGATCTCTGTTTTATAGAAAAGGAACTGGGGCTTAGAGAGATAAAGTAAGTTGCCTAAGATTACACAGCAAAGCACTGGTAAAAGTTCAAGTTCACATCTAAGTGACCGCTCCCAAAGCCTGGCATAGTGCACGTGGGTGCGCCTCACTCACCCATGATTTAAATGTTGCGATTGTCATGGCTGAACGCTCTCACCACATTTTCTACAGAAACATATGTTTCACTTTCTTTTGGGTTGCTGTATCTTTTATTAAGATGTACACAGGTCAAATGTACATGTTTCCTTTGTCTAATAAAACTTTGTATTCTAATGTTTTGATATGTTTTCCATAAAACATTAGGATACAAGACACAGCTGGAAAGCAAAAAGTTATTATTTTAAAGTTATAAACTGCCTATCCATATTTTAAGGAATTTCATAAACTAAAAACAAGACTTTAAAATATTTCATGACAAAACATTTCAATTTTGTCAGTGTAAATAACAGGAAAAAGGTTGAAATTACAAATACTCAGAAACTTTAGCCAAAATACAAGTTGTACCAAGCAATTAAAAAAGCTATTTAAATTAAAAGAAATTAAAGTCATGACTAACAAAAGTTTCTTAAATGTTTAACAGAAACCAATTTGAATTTTATATTGTGTTAGATTCAGATTTGACAAGTACTTAACTTCTCTCTCATAGCATCTTTTGATAACTAAAAAAAATATAATTCAATTAAAATATGTAACAAGCTTGGTTATTCAGTTTAATAAAGTCTTGGCCTCCATGTAAAAATTTAACTGAATGAGCACACACAGCTTCTTAAAGATTAATGGACTTGAATTCACCAATGTTAAATACAGCTTAAAAAAAAATGGTGGGGGGGACAAGAAGAGGTAAGCCAAAGAACTTATATACTTACTAGAGGCCCAGTGCACGAATTCATGCACAGGTAGGGTCCCTCGGCCTGACCAGTGATTGGGACCTATAGGAGACCAATCGGGGCCGGCAGGCCAGCCAGGGGGAGGAACCACGAGAGGTTGGCCAGCCAGCCCCAGTTGGGGCTGATCGGGGCCAGCTGGCGGGGGGAGGGACTGCAGGAGTTTGGCCGGCCATGGGAGGTTGGCTGTGGGAGCGCACTGACCACCAGGGGGGCAGCTCCTGTGTTAAGCTTCTGCCCCTGGTGGTCAGTGCGCATCATAGCAACCGGTCGACTGGTCGTAAAGGTCCTTTAGGCTTATCCTATCTAATAATAGACAAACATGGTAATTGACCATACCTTCGCTATGCCTCCCATTGGCTAATCAGCGCGATATGCAAATTAGCCGCCAACAAAGATGGTGGCTAATTTGCATACTGCAGGCAGGGCGGGACAGTGCCATCCCGCCTGCCCCGCCGCCATCTAGGACTGCTATTTTCGACCCGGGGCGGGACAGCGCCATCCCACCTGCCCTGCCGCCATCCGGGCCTGCTATCTGCGACCCGGGGCAGCAGGCGTCCATGTGCAACCCAACCCGGGGTGGCCTGGTGGTGCAGCAGTGATCAGCCAGCCCGCCTGGCCTCCATCCAGGCATCCCGTGAGCGACCTGACCCAGGGCGGCTGGGTGGGGCAGCAGTGATCTGCCGGCCTGCCCGGGCATCCCGTGTGCGACCCAACCCGGGGCGGCCAGACGGGGCAGCAGCAATCGGCCGGCCTGCCCGGTCGTCCATGTGTGACCCAACCCGGGCGGCCGGGTGGGGCAGTAGCGATCCGCTGGCCCGCCCGGCCACCATCCGGGCATCCCTTGTGTGACCCAACTCAGGGCAGTGCCCCAACCCCCAGATCAGCCCTGCTGTGTGCACGACCCAGGGAGGCGGGGCAGGCACCGAGGGATCGAGCCTGCCATCTGCCAACCAGGGAGCGGGCCTAAGCCAGCAGGTGGTTATCTCCTGAGGGGTCCCAGACTGTGAGAGGACACAAGTGGGGCTGAGGGACACCCCCTCTATACCAGTGCACAAATTTTGTGCACAGGGCCTCTAGTGTATATATAGATATGTATAGCCCATAGACACGGGCAATGGAGTAATGAAGACCTGGGGTGGGGGGTGGCGGCTGGGAAGAGGGAGGTAAATGGGGAGAAATGGGAGATATCTGTAATACTATTAACAATGAGAAATTTTTTTTAAAAAAATGGAAGGGCTGCTCCATAAATTATTGATCAATCCCCTTGGAAATGCATTCTCATCACATGCAAGGATTAAGTAAAAATATTTTACAATTATATAATTTTTACTCAAAACAGTTCAAAAATAATTCCACATTATCTCAGTTATCTTTACATTTTTTAAAATGATAAGGTTTCCATTAGTTCTTTTTTTTGTTGCTTAATTATCTAATTAACTCTAGGACTTTAACTCTACTTCTCCCAGAATTTAAAGGCAACACACTATTCTTCAAGAAATCACCTTATTTTCACACATCTTGCCTTCCTTATTTTGTTAAAGTGCCCTAGCAATAAATTTTAACTAGCCAGATCGCAAAAGCTACCCACTCTCCTTTATGCAAAACATGACAGTTTGCTCCTTAAATGAAATATCGAGATTAAGACACTTACCAAGTTTCCAGGAGGTACTCCAAGGTCAGCCAGGTAGAGAATGGAATTGAAGAATCCCTGAAAGCAGCCAGCTCTAGATTAAGCCTCCCCCATCTTAATACTGCTAGAAAATGTTGCTGGCAAAAATCATAACTGACACCTCAGTGATGAGAATAAATAAGTATCAATAGAGTCAGAGGGAACAGTCCTTGACGAGTTACCTCTTTGCAGTCTTTTACAAATGGCTGTATCACATTGAAGTCCTGGTGACTGCCACTCATAGCACTGCTTGTACTTTTATTTCTTGTATGCCCCTTTTTAAAAGGTGTCTTTCCACCTGGCAGAGGCTCCTGTGTTGGCGATGTTGGAGAACTGGACAATACAAGTGTCTTCAATGCAGCTACTTCAGCTTGAAGTACATCAATCTTGAAAAGAAATCAACATAATTTCATATACTAAATACGGTTAATGACAGAGCCAGCTAAAGGTTAGCAATTTTGTCAAAACACTTTCCTTTCAAAGATGAAATATAAGTTTCACCTGTATTTCCTGGGGATTAATAAAAGGAAAGCTAAGTTATTTTATGTTTCCACATGGTTTGTATTCAGCTGCTATTTACAATGTCAAGTGATCTTTAAAAATTATCAAAATGTCTAACATTTATATGAATTTTCAAAATCTTCAAAATATAATGGCTTATGATTAGCTGTAGTTCATTCCTAAAACATAAACTCTAATAACTTTTCAGTGGCTTTATTCAGTGAATTAAGAAAACAAATATTAACTTTAAAACGTGACCATATAATCCTTTTGATAATACTTGTGATTCACAAGCCTTTGAATCATTTGGTTCTACTTATGAATGGGCACCAAATGTTCATTATTAATCTATATAGTAGCTATTTTCTTCTTTACAGTTTCCTATAGTTTCCCACATCTTCTAAAATAAGCACTACTTTACAATCAGAACAAAACCCAGTAACTGGTAAGGTACCTGTAAGACAGTCATCACTAGGGACAGGAAGAAGTTCCAGATGGTGGCAGGCAGGGCAGGGGTCCTAAGAGTGCGAAGGCTGCAAAGGGCAACCAGAACCTGGTGCTTCTGAGAGCACAGATAGCCTCCCACCTTAACCAGGACCTGACCTGGGGCCCTATCCCTAGACCCCAGAAGAATGGTCTGCCACTGCCAAGAAGTATAATATGCGGGTGGAAGACTATGAGCAGTACCCGGATGATGGCATGGGTTATGGTGTCTACCCAAAGCTCTGTGACCGCTCACAGCACAAGAGGGATCTATGGTGTGACTAGACCACCCAGACCTGAGACTGAACTGGGGTGAGCCGATTCACTGGGACCGAGATGTGTGGATCAAGAACCATGTGGACAAAGCCCCCAGGCCTGTTTCTTGAAATCTCATGTGTAAGCACCTCTTCAGCTTCATGGCCTTCATGCTATTCATGTCTTGGGTGGGAGAGACTTACCCCTCCAATCAGCTTGTGGGCCTAAGCCAGTGATGGCGAATCTTGTGACACATGAACTCATTTTTTTGGTTGATTTTTCTTTGTTAAATGGCATTTAAATATATAAAATAAATATCAAAAATATGTCTTTGTTTTACTATGGTTGCAAATATCAAAAAATTTTTATATGTGACACGGCACCAGAGTTAAGTTAGGGTTTTTCAAAATGCTGACACGCCGAGCTCAAAAGGTTCGTCATCACTGGCCTAAGCAATACTCTAATAATCTGTACCGGGAATGAGGTGGCGATCCCACCAAGAGCCTAAGCAGGTGGTTCACTATGAAATCTGGGGAAATTCATGGGTTTTGTACCCCCTAATTGACCCCTTCATTCCCAGAGATTTAACCTTAATGAAATCCCTAAAAAAACAGTGCTGTGGTTAAAATAAAAAATAGTAATCACTAACTTCTTTACATTTTATACTACTCCAAGCAGTAAAAACTTACTTTTCCTTGTGCTTCTTTTAGCTGTTTTTCTGCTGTTGCCTGCTTGACATTTGCTTCTCTCACCATCTTATGAGCTTCCTGAAAAAGTTAACATCTCAAATTTTGGAAACTAAGTAGCATTTATTTTCAAAAAAATCTTAATAAGTGATTGAAGCAAAGATATACTACCAAAATTTAGCCTGAAAATAAGTACTCAATGTCAACTACTGAAATAACAGTTGTCAGCAGATAGACAAACTATTAGAAATTAGGAAGAGGGACATTTTTTAGTACCTATTACCACTGACGCAGTCAAGCTGAGGTCACTCCCTCTGATCCATGGTTGAATAAAGGACTGTGAATGTGATGAAGAAAATATATGACCCATATGTTAAACCCATGTCCTCTGAAGTTAGATTTTTAAAACTTGATATATATATATATATATATATATGTGTGTGTGTGTGTGTGTGTGTGTGTGTATTAGTTACAGCAAAGACATACAGTAGGGACAAGTAAAAATATTAAAATATCAATAATGTTGCAGTTTACAGAAATTAAGCTGAGAAGCCTTAGAGATTTCAATTAAAAAAATCCACAAATGATATGAAGTAATGACTTTGTACAGAGAAATCTAAAGAGATAAATCAGTTTAATATGTAATGGGGTCTTAATTTTATAGTGCCACAAATATGAAACTCCAGGTATTTAATTATCTTTTATTCATATAATATTCATCAAACATTTATTCACACCACCTCTGCATGAGGTTGCGCTCGTGGTGCTCATAATATACTAGGAAAAGTCAAGCTCCCTGATCTTAAGGACCTTATATCCTGATTATGTTCTAATAATTAAAATATCTGAGCAAGAATTCTGGATATACTCTAAGCGAGGTATGAACTTTTATAGTTTTCTAAGAGAGAGAGAGATATGACTGAAATTGTATTTTTAAAAGATTATTCTGCTGTATGGAATAATCCCTATGAAGAATTAATGATGGACTGAAACAGTATATAGGGTGCTCTAGACAGTCCCCTGGGATGAACAATGAAAAGAGCTGGACAGTTTTTTAAATGTGTTTGAAGGCATTAGAGAGCAAATAAAATAGTGAAGGACTGGGGGACCAAGATCCAACAGAAGATGTAAACCCAGAAAAGAGAGCTGGAATTAGGGGTGACTTTTCCCCTTGAGATATAAAGGACACAGTGAAAAGATACAGCACACATGTAATTGAAGTTGCAGAAGGAAAGAAAAGAGAGCTAGAATGAGGGAAAGCAGTCTCTAAAAAAGTACCATATAGGATTTTACACGCTGACAAAAGACATCAAAAGGTAGGTATAAAAAGTTTGACCCCTGGCTGGTTTGGCTCATTTGGTAGGATATCGGCCAATGGATGGACTGAGGGGTCCCAGGTTTGATTCCAGTCAAGGGTACATACTTCGATCGCAGACTCCATCCCCGATCCCAGTAGGGGTGAATACGGGAGGCAACCAATGAATGTCTTTCTCTCTCTCTCTCCCCTCCTCCCTTCCACTCTCTCTAAAAATCAATGGAAAAATACCCTCGGGTGAGAATTTTAAAAATAAATAAATTTCAAAAGTTTGAAATTTTTCCTATCACTTTATTGCTCTGTAGCTAAAAATGACAGAAGAATCATCTATACCAGGAGTCAGCAAACTTGTTCTGTAAGGGCCAGATAGTAAATAGTTTTGGCTTTGTGAGCCATACAGGTTGTTGCAACTACTCAATTCTGCTGTTGCAGTGTGAAAGCAACCACAGACAATAAATACAGAACAAATGAGTGTGGCCATTTCAATAAAAATTTATGGGCACTAAAATTTGAATTTCATATAGTTTTCATAGGTCACAAAATATTCTTCTTTTGATCCCCTGCAACCATTTAAAAATGTAAAAACCAATCTTAGCTCAAGGCTGTACAAAAGTAGACATAGACTAGTTTTACCCTACAGGAAGTAGTTTGCAGACCTCTAGTCTATGTAAACATTCAAATCTTTATACTTACAAACTTTGAAAAGAGAATTTTTAACCTAATTCTCCCCAAAGTACGAATTATTCCTAATCTTCTGATTAGTTTGCAAAAACAATTTGTTGGTATTAGAGAAGACAGAAATTCAGTACATTCAGTAGAGAATTTTCTGAAAAAAACCTTCATGTAACTGACAATGGAAATGAAACTTCAGTATAATTTTTTAAAACAGGGAAAGATATACTTCTTCCACTTGGATCAATATGTTTGTTAGTTATCAGCAACATTAAATATAATTGTTTTCAAAACAAAACAAAACAAACAAAAAAACACAATATTTAGACCAGACCTTGATCTGGATAACAAATTGTTAATACGAGATTTTCAAAAACAAGGTAACATATTCAATCCCACTCTTCACACTAAATACAGGGGTGAGCAAAAGTAGGTTTACAGTTGTAGCATGCAAGACAGTTTACTCTTGTATTATTATTTATTAATTACTAGAGGCCCAATGCACGAAATTCATGCATGGGGGTGGGGGTGTCTCTCAGCCCAGCCTGCACCCTCTCCAATCCGGGACCCCTCAGGGGATGTCCGACTGCAGGATCGGGCCTAAATCAGCAGTCGGACATCTCTCTCACAATCCAGGACCACTGGCTCCTAACCGCTTGCCTGCCTGCCTGATCACCCCCTAATCGCTCCCCCGCCAGCCTGATGACCCCTCACCGTTCCCCGCAAGCCTGATGCCCCCTTACTGTACCCCCAGCAGCCTGATCACCCCCTAACTGCTCCACCAGCCTGATCATCCCCTAACTGCTCCCTTGCTGGCCTGATACCCCTAACTGCCCTCCCCTGCTGGCCTGATCCCCCTAACTGCCTCTGCCCCGCCACTATGGCTTTGTCTGAAAGGAAGTCCAGAAGATGTCGGTCTAATTAGCATATTACCCTTTTATTAGTATAAATTACATTGTTTCCCATACAAACAACTGTAAATCTGCTTTTGCTCAACCCTGTAAGCAAATGCACACATATATACAGTATGTTTTAGTGAGAAGAAAGTATATTGTACTATTACAAAAAATTTTACACATTTTTATTCTTACTCTTTTCAAAATTAATGCAACACATTATGACTTAGTGTACACATATAATTTATGAGGAAGTACATATGCTCTGAGAACCGTGCCTAGCACACAGGGAACACTCAGTAAATATCAGGTATCTTCATCATAATTAAGGTGCATGCTCAATTTTTTTTTTACAGATCAGGTACATGAACAAAAAGTTTGGCATATACTGATCTAGGTAAGAAATGATGGTGGCTGGAAGACGTGACAGCAGATTCAAAATAGAAAGGTAGACAGATTTTTTATGTTCTCCAGGGACTGTCACAGGACCTTTTGGACAGTTTCAGTGTAGGATGAAGAGGGGCCTCAGTGATGACTCCTTTTCTGTGGCTTGAGACAAAGGAATTGCCACTTATGATTTTCATAGTACTCAAGGCCAGAGTCGAGGTCCCAGCACTGCTCCTTATCTATGCCTCATTTTCTTCACAGATTAAAATAATAATTTGAACTCTATGCCTAGCATTATGGAGAGAAAACCAGATACAGCACAAAAATTTACTAAAATTGGCTGACAAAATATCTTTAAAATCTTAAGATTACCTATGTTAAATGTAGACAACTTTATAAAGCATTCTTTCAATGGAGTTCACTTTATCTCTAAATCTGAGATACCAGAAGGAAAAATATATATATATATATGCATATGTATGTGTGTGTGTGTGTGTGTGTGTGTGTAACTTTAAAGTTCTTCGATTTGATACTTTTAAGACTCAACTTTGATACAAAGTATAATTATATTCAAGATTATTTGTTCATAATACATTAATAAACTGCTAATTTGAATTTACCTGCTAAATTAATTTTATTCAGAATAATCTTTAATTCTTAAAACTATACATGTATATACATATCATAAAATGCAAGCAAATACTCTTTTCATAAGACAATGGTACATTGAGATCACAAAGCCACAATTAAGACCAGAGAAAAACTTTTAGCACTGTTTTTCAAAATTCATAAATAACTCGTTTAAATACAACTTTCTTCATTACCAAAATCATGTTTAATCACTGTAATTTCTTTCCCAGAAAGTTTACAGTGTCAATGCTATTAGCTATTGTAAGAGTAGGGACAGGTTAGGGACCCCAAAACTATGTTTTTTAGATATACTTTTTCATTAATAGCACAAACTGCATTTCTGGTATTTCACATCCCATCACAGCAGTAGTTCTCAACCTTCTGGCCCTTTAAATACAGTTCCTCATGTTGTGGTGACCCCCAACCATAAAATTATTTTCATTGCTACTTCATAACTGTAATGTTGCTACTGTTATGAATCATAATGTAAATATCTGATATGCAGGATGGTCTTAGGTGACCCCTGTGAAAGGGTCGTTCGATTGCCAAAAGGGTCGCGACCCACAGGTTGAGAACCACTGCATTACAGAGAGGAAAAAGTTTCTTTCCGTTAGTTTCCTTCTATTTCATCTAACAGAATATACATGTAAGTACAGAAGGTGGAGCTAAGTATGGCTAAAATTAGGGCATGCAGGTAAGAAATCAAAATTAGTATAAGTAGTATAGCACGCTTGCTTTCTTCTCTAGTATCCATATCATTATAAAATTTTCTTTTGCTAGACAATATTGGAAGAAAAAGTCTTATGTTTCTATATACCCCTTGTACATATAAAATGTAACAGGTCACACAGCTCCTATTTCAGATCTTTAACTTTCCACTCTCCTCCACCTTAAATTTCTCTTCCTCTCATCTCCAATGACTAGTTAACTAAACAAAATAAATTAGTTTTTGAATGTTCATGAAAGAAAATGACTCCAAAAAAGACAAAGACAAAGAAGAGGGCAAACAAGTGTGGAACAGAGGGTGCATGTCTGAAGATATCCACTGCAATGCTACTTATAATGACAGAAACTGTGGAATACGTATTTGATAGATACGTATTCTTTCATTACACTGAGTATGCAGTAGCATGAAAAGAGTTTATTTGGAAAAAAACCTATAGAATGTATTAGTATTGCAACTATGTGAACAAACATGCATATCCAACAATGAAGCAGATGCTGCATAAATACAAATAAAGGGTGAAGAAATTTTCCCGCTAAAATCTTGTGAAAGTTTTAAGAACAAACTTTTGAGAAAAAAATATCGATATGTGATAACAACATTAGGTATCCTCGTAACACATCAATGTTTTTGATAAGGAACGAAGGCTAACCTAAAGGAGGCACTCCATGGAAGTAATTTTTAACAGCAAGGAAGTACTATCCTCTACTCACCCATCATGGATATTTATAAGTTGTCAAAATGATCAGGGAGTATTTCTAGCATTTGGGGGCAAAGCCAAGTATGATGGTTAATTTTGTATGTCAACTTGACTGGGCCAGAGGGTGTGCCCAGGTATTTGGTCAAGCATTATTCTGGGTGTTTCTGGATGAGATGAACATTAAAATCAGTAGACAGAGCAAAGCAGACTGCCCTCCATAATATGGGTGGGCCTCATCCAATCAGTAGAAGACCTGAATAGAACAAAGGCTGATCCCCAGAGAATAAGAGAGAATTCTTCTTGCCTTCAGACTTGAATTGAAACATCAGCTCTTCCTGGGTCTTGAGCCTTTGGACTTGGATTGGAACTACACCATCAGCTGTTCTAGGTCTCCAGCCTGCCAAATCACGCTGCATAACTTGGGAGTTACCAGCCTCCATAATCACAAGAGCCAATTCCTTATATAAGCCTCTTTCTGTATATGTGTATATGTATCTACGTATATACACACATGCTCTTAGTTCTGTTTATTGGAGAATCCTGAATAATATACCAAGGATGCTAAATGTCCTGCAATATCAGTGGCAGCCCTATTGAGAAACACTGAGTTGGGTAAAAATTTTGGTCCCAAATGGTAGGCTAGAGATAAAAAGGTGTACCTTCTAAGAAGTATATGGCCCTAACCGGTTTGGCTTAGTGGATAGAGCATCGGCCTGCAGACTCAAGGGTCCCAGGTTCAATTCTGGTCAAGGGCATGTACCTTGGTTGTGGGTACATCCCCAGTGGGGAATGTGCAGGAAGCAGCTGATCGATGTTTCTCTCTCATTGATGTTTCTGACTCCCTATCCCTCTCCCTTCCTCTCTGTAAAAAATCAATAAAATATATATATTAGAAGTATATGTACCTCCTAACATTCCGCAAATCATCCAGTATCAGATATATATCAAAGGTTTGCCATCTTTGTTGTAGAGTCATACAAAGTTACTCTAAAGCAGTCCCTAAGTATTTGGTGAAAACCAAAATTAAATTTACCTCCTTTCTTTCCACATATCCATATTTAAACAACCTCATACTGGTAACCCATAGTGTTTTTTTTCATTTCACAGCATTTTAAGTTGCAGTCTCTATATTTCTTAAAAATTTTATTTTTTCTTAGAAGACTTATAAATATGTATAAAGTTACGCATATTTTTCCTCAAGATTCCCTCAAAAAACAACTCTATCAATATATAATCATCACGACTTTGCTTTTGGCCAAGACGTAAATAGACCAACCTCAAACAGACTAGCTGTGAGTTCCTCCAATTCCTGTCCAAGTTGATCACGTACTTTAGAAAGCCTCTCACACTCTTCATCTTTTAACTTCAGTTCCTGTGAGAAATTGATCATTTTATTTTGGGTTTCCATAGTTTTAAGTCAGATTCAGCAGACTATATAATCTTCACTAATAAGATTACAAAATATTGATACTGTCCCCTCCTATAATATTCACACTAAAAATGTTTATTTAGCACTTGCTATGTGGAAGACAATGAGGCAAATCTAAAATTACAAATAACTCTAACTCACATATTAAATTTTCATGTTTCATAAACATCCAAAGATTAAATATTATATATTATGTGTGAAAATAAACAATTAAATGATTTCATTCTTTTTTCTTTTAACTTTTCTCTGAGCATATTTATTTCCATCAAGCAAGCAATTTCTTCAACTATGCATATTCAATAAAAGTTCAACAGGTTTTTATACCCATTTTTGCTTTAAAAATTGTTTATATATAATTTTATGTAATATACCACAATTAGTCTAAAGTTTCCATCAGGAGACTATACCATTTAACACTACAATAAGAGACAAATGATGCATATTTAAAATTCAGAAGAATGTTAATAACAAAAATCACATCTTACATTTATACATAACTCCCAATAGGTCACAAAAAATGTTAGAAAATTTCTATATTAAGATGTTACAGTATGATTGTCAGATAGGTACGAGACTTATCGGAATGTTCACTTAGTAAGTTATATAATGTCTAATCCAGTGGTCGCCAAGCTTTGAGACCTCACGGACCACCAATGGCGACCACTGGTCTAATCACTGGGGTCTACATGTGAAACTAATATATTGTATATCAACTATAATTGAAAAATAAAAAATGATGTAAATGTAAGAAATTTTAAGATGTTACTAATATGCAATTTTATGTTGCCCTAAATTAATCATTCAAATTTAGATATTAAAAAAAATCCAAGCTCCTTATATATTGGTCACAACTGAACTAATAAATAATGGCTTAGTTGTGTAATTATTGTGGTGGCAGCAAAGTTTTTGAATTTCCCAAGGACAACTCCTGAAAGCTAAATATACCAAATAGGATATCAGAAAAACCCAATGACTACATCTACACTAATACTAGACATATGTAAATTGACTGTGCCTTTGCAATGCCCCACAGCCAATCAGGAGTATGCAAATTAACCCAACAAAGCTGGTGGGCCTGTGGGCAGCACACACTCGCTGCAGGCACCGAGTGGCCAGGGGCGGGGGCGGGGCGTTCTGCACTGCCCCAGCTGCTCCAGGCCTCTGGGCAGTGTGGCAAGGCAGAAAGGTGGCTCCGGCCAGAGCGAAGGCAGTGCCAACAAGCCAGGGGAAGGAAGGCCCACACTTGCACGAATCTTCGTGCATTGGGCCTTTAGTCTTCAATAAAAGTAGGTAAAAGAGAATCCCCTCAAAGCTTAGACTATGAGGGAATGTGGCTGCACTGCCAACACTGCAGGATCAGCAACTCTGTGAAAGGGAGCAACAGGAAGTAAATGGGACTGCAGAAGTACCCTGCAAAATCCCAGAACCCGAAAAATCATTGTAAATACCCCTAAAGCAAAGGATTCTACCATTAGTGGAAACTGGAAGAATAGACAGAACAAATGGGGAAAAGGGAAAGGTTTTCTCAGGCTCCATATTGCAGGTGAGTCCAAAAATCTGTCCTGATGCAGCAAACGGTCCTACTGTGAAGCTCTACACTCTCAGCTCTCTCAAAGCATCCAGAAGAGAAACCCTTCCAGGACACAGCACCACGCTAAGGGAAAAACTCGTGTTATCTGAAACCAAACTGCAGGGCAGGAACAATGGAGATAGAGGGAAGTTAAGATATTAAAGGAGGAAGGTCAGGGCAACGTTCCAAAGGAAACAGACCACAGAAAATACTATGAAAATATATCTTATGATGTAATGTTAAGGCTGCAAGGCTCACAGAGACACTGGGCTAGAGGAGAAAACCTTGAATAAGGCTTACCTCTGAGAGAAGTGGCTACACAGATACACCAATAACAATAGAAGGGAAAGCCCTGAACGTAAAACTAAGAAAGTTATCCTGGTTCATCCTACTCCTTCACAGGAACCTCCTTCCCATATTCCAGAAAAATCCAATTCATTGAAACATGGAAAACAGACAAAAACCTATTAAGTTCTCATTATAAAAAAGTTAAACACAAAGCCAAGCCACCTATAAGGGAAAGAAAATCAGGATGGTATTAAACATCAACAGCATTTTATATTAGAAAATAATGCAATAACATATTTAAGATACTAAAAAAAAAAGTGAGATGAAGATTTATTTTTATTTTTATTTTTTTATTGATTTTAGAGAGAGAGGAAGGGAGAGGGAAAGATAGAAACATCGATGGGAGTGAAACATTGATTGGCAGCCTCCTGCAGGGCCCCTGCAACCGAGGCATGCGCCCTGACTGGGAATTGAACCAGAGACCTCCTGGTGCATGGGATAATGCTCAATCCACTGAGCCACACCACCAGGCAAGATGAAGATTTTAAATCCAGCCAAAGTGTCCTGAAAGTGTAATGTCAGAGACAAAGAGTTATAAACCTGTACAACTTTAGAGAATATCTCTCCCAGAGCATGCCTGAGTGGTCAAGTGGAGAATGAGTTTCAGATAATCAAGAAAAAAATGAAGAATATTTAATGTTAAAGACTGAGGATAAGCAGCAAGTATATTTAATTATAGAACTACAACTAAAAGATGTGGATATCAAGAGAATGAAAACACAAGAAAATATCTGCAAAAGACATATCTGATAAAGATGTTTGTCCAAAATATACAAAGACTTATTAAAACTCAATAATAAGAAAATGAACAACCTGGTTACAAAATGGCGAAAGATCTGAACAGACACCTCACCAAAAAAGACATACAGAGGGCAAGTAAACATATGGAAAAAAAATGTTCCAAATCATATGAAATCAGGGAAATGAGAATTAAAATGAGTACCACCAAAAACCAGAACACAGACAATGCTAAATGCTGGCAAGGATGGGGAGCAACAGGGACTTTCATTCATTGCTGGTGGGAATGCAAAATGGTACAGCCACTGTGGAAGACAATTCAAGTTTTTATAAAATTAAACATACTCTTTTTAAAAAATATACATAAGACTATTTATTGCAACAGTGATTGGTATGGGAAAATATTAGAAATAACCCAGATACCTATTAATAAGGAAGTAGTTAAATAAATTACAGTAATCCATACAATGAAATGGGTTCAATTTCAGGATTGGGGTTATGGTTAATGTGAATGCTGAGAGAAAACAGTCAAGATAGCTTAAGTAAAAAATTCAAGATGTGAATAGTGCTTACATACCTTTACATATTTCAATGGTAATATTTAGTTTCGTGCATACAGAAAGCCTTTAAGGAAATACATAAGAACTTCCTAACCAGGTTGACAGACCGAAAGCGATCTGACAAAAACTAAACACATCTTAATATACAACCCAGCAACCACACTCCTTGATATTAAACGAAAGGAGCTGAAAACTTATGTCCACACAAGTTTTGCACTTGAATGTTTATATATTCATAACTGCAAAAACTGGGAAGCAACCAAAATATAGGTGAATGGATAAAAAATTCAGTAGGCAAATGAATAAACTGTGGTGGTACAACCAGATAAAGGAATATTACTCAGGACTAAAAGGAAATGAGCTACCAAACCATGAAAAGGCATGGAAGAAAATAAATGATGTTACCATATTTAAAAACCCAATCTGAAAAGGCTACTTACTGTATGATTCCAACTGTATGACATTCTGGAAAAGCAAAACTATGGAGACAGTCAAAAGATCAACGGTTAGCCGGGTTTAGAGGGTAGGAGGAAAAGTAGAGCACAGAGGATTTTTAGGGCAGTGAAACTATTCTGGATGATACTGGAATGGTAGCTCCATGTCACTGTACATTTGCTAAAATTCACAGATGTACAACGCCAAGAGTAAACCCTAATGTAAATAAAGGACTTTGGGAAATGATGATGTGTCAATGTAGGTTCATCAGTTGTAACACCAAAAACTCTGGTGCAGAATGTGGATAATGGAGGAGGTTGTGTGTGTGTTGGGACGGGGTTTTATCGGAACTCTGTAATTCCCTCTCAATTTTTCTGTAAACCTAAAACTGCTCTAAAAAATAAAGTGTTTGTTTTTTGTTTGTTTTGTTTTTTAATGGGGCTAGCTCTAGCCAGTGGTGAAAGCACTGGCCCATGCACTGAAGGGTTGCAGGTTCGATTCCTGGTCAAGGGCATGTACATGGTGGGGGTGAGTGCAGGAGGCAACAAATCCATATCTCTATCTCTATCCTCAGGTGAGGATTAACAATAAATAAATAAATAAAATGGGAATAAAGCTGACAAAACAATTATATAAATGTTATAAGCTTCAGGAATGTAAAAGTAATACACACAAACAAAAAATAGGAGAAAGATTAAACTAAATTTAGAACATCTTAAATATTAACTGGGAGTAAAGAGATATAAATCACTTTGAGGCTCACAAATCAATTAGTATAAACCTAAACATGTTTAACACCATAGAGATTAACATTATCTTAACTACAATTTAATTATACAAGAAAAAAAAAACAGTAACTAGATAATTTCAGTATTTTTCAAGGTAGGGAAGGCAGTAGCTAAAGAAGGGCTAGGAGATATTTATATCTTCAATTAAAGGTAACAACTAGAATGGAAATCAAACCTTCTAAAATACCAAAACGGAAAAGAGGAGGAGGAGGTCACACACACAAAAAAATGGAGCACATAGTGAAAAGACATTTGAAAGCCATGTAACAGAAACATGCCCAAATATAGCACGTTTACCAATAAATGCAAATAGGCATAACTCACCTATTAAAATTATTTTCAGACTAGAGGCCCGGTGCACAACATTCCTGCACTTGGCTGGTGGGGGGAGGTGTCCCTCAGACCAGCCTGCACCAGTTAGCAGTCCGGCAGCCCTTGGGGAATGTCCGACTGACGGCTTAGGCCTGCTCCTCGCAGTCGGACATCTATAGCTGCAGTGGAGACAGGAGAGGCTCCCTCCACCGCTGCTGCGCTCGCCAGCTGTCAGCCCAGCTTGTGGCTCAGCACCACTCCCCCTATGGGAGCGCACTGACCACCAGGGGGCAGCTCCTGCATTGAGCATCTGCCCCCTGGTGGTCAGTGTGCATCATAGCAACTGGTCATTCCGCCATTTGGTAGATTTGCATATTACCCTTTTATTATACAGGATTAGCTAAAAAAGCAAAAATCTCTCTGTTCTCTATACAAGAGACATACATAAAACTAAGTGATTCAGACAATAAAGATATAAGAATATAAAAAGTATACTAAAAATATAATAAAAATAAAAGAGGGCTGTCAATCTTGATAACAGAAAAGGCAGAATACAGGTCAAAATCATTAGAGACAAAGGAAACTTAATAATGCTAAAGACTACAATGAAAAAGAAAGCTTTAAAATACTCCCAAATAAATAAATACTACTAAATATAGAAGTAGACTTAAACAAACAGAAAGAAGGATATACTACATTCTTGAAAAGAAAAATATCATAAAGGTGCCAATTTTCCCTGAGTTAATTTATAAATCTGTAAAAGCATAAATTTAATATCAGGTTCTTTTAAACTCTAACATTTTACTATTTTGTAAGTATATATGAGAACTAAGTAAATTCATTCAACTTTTCCTACTAGGTAGGCACTATGGTACTCCTTCAGAATACAAAACCAAGTAAGATACTACCCCTTGAGAAGCTTTCAATCTATTAGAGCAATACATATGTCATTCATGAAAGCAAAATTCTTGAATCACTTCCTAGTCTACTAAAGTGGCATAAACCTCACCCTAATACTAAAGACCCTTTACATGTGCTCAATTTCCTTTTTCAGAGTTATTTCCCTTGGTCCACACAGTAAAGCTAGAACTAAATTGGTCTATTCATTCTTATTATTGTTGACAGAATCACAGATGTCCCCCATTTGCTCCCCCTGCACCCTCATCTACCCCCAACCCCGGCCTTCTCAGGTCTTCACCACACAAATGTGTGTGTCCATGGGCTATGCATATATGCATATAAGTTCTCTGGTTAATCTCTTCATGTCTCACCACACCCTTTCCCTCTGAGCTCTCTCAGTCTGTTCCATGCATCCATGCCTCTGGAGCTATTCTGTTCATCAGTTTATTATGTTCATTAGATTCCACATATAAGTGAGATCATGTGATATTTGTCTTTCTCTGACTGGCTTATTTCACTTAGCATGATATTCTCCATGTCCATCCATGCTGTCTCAAAGGGTAAGAGATCCTTCTTTTTTACAGCTGCATAGTATTCCATTGTGTAAATGTACCACATCTTTTTTATCTACTCATCTACTGATGAGCACTTGTTCTGTTTCCAGTTCTTAGCTATTGTAAATAGTACTGCTATGAACATAGGAGGGTTTCTCTGGATAAATTCTCGGAAGTGGAATTGCTGAGTCAAACAGCAGTTCCATTTTTAATTTTTTAATAAATTTCATACTATTTTCCATAGTGGCTGCACCAATCTGCATTCCCACGAGCAGTGTACTAGAGTTCCAGTTTCTCCACATCCTCGCCAGCACTTGTTGTTTGTTGATTCATTCTTGTTTCATTCCCCAAACTGATCCCATCCAGCTGGGCTAACTCTTTCCCTATAAATGTCTGCCTACCTTCTTTCTATGCTTCAAGGTCCAACTTAACCTACCTAATGAAGTCAAATTTGTATCGCATGTCAATGTATAACTCAAAATCAGGGGAACATTACCATGTATACATGTGTTTTCTCCCCAACTAGAAACATCTTAAGGACAAAGTTTAAAAAAATTTTATTTTTACCCTCTATAAGGCTCATATAATGCCATGAATACTCTGGTTTCACAAGTAATATCTCTATCATAAAAACCCCGTGGTCGTGACACCATCAGAAATAAAATTACAATGTCCGAGATTAAAAAAATACATCGTATAGGATTAGTAGAGTAGATATTGCAGAAGAAAATAGTTACATTGAAGACATAGCAATAGGAACTATCCACAATGAAACAGAGGGGAAAATATTTTTTTTAATGAATAGAGTACCAGTTAGGTGTGGGACAACTTTAAGCAGTCCAATGTTCATGTAAAAGGAGTCCCAAAGGAGAGGAAAGAGATTTTGAGGAAATAATGGCCAAAATTTCTCAAATTCTATAAAATTTAACCTATGGGTTCAAGAAGTTCAACAAGTCCCAAGCACAAGAAACCTAAAGAAAACTATACCAAAATATAACATACTCAAATTGCTTATCCTATATAATAAAGGGTGTCCTAAAATTCACGCAAGAAGTAATTTTGATAGAAAACACAAGTTTATAATTAAAAACTGTAAATTTTTTATTGATTCATAAAGTATACAGTATAGGGTTATGTATGGAATAGCATATCAGGTAAATGGCCTCCACAGCTTTGCTGGCACATACGCACTCTTTTGTTGAAATTTTCCATGACCATTTTGCATAAATGTGGCTGAATTTCAATGAGGCTCATTTTCATCTTGATGGCTTGGTTAACCGACAAAATTGTCGCATTTGGGGTTCAGAAAATCCACAAGTTATGGAGAAACAAATGCATCCACAATGTGTCACTGTTTGGTGCAGATTTTAGGCTGGAGGCATCATGGGACCATTCTTCTTCGAAAATGCGGCTGCTCAGGCAATAACAAAAGAGTGTGTATGTGCATAACCCTATATGTATACTCTATGAATCAAGAAAAAATTTACAATTTTTAATTATAAACCTGTGTTTTCTATCAAAATTACTTTATGCGTGAATTTTGGGACACCCTTTAAAAGGCTAATATGCAAATCGATCAAATGGCAGAACTGGTCGCTATGATGCCCACTGACCAACAGGGGGCAACACTCAACACAGGAGCTGTCCCCTGGTGGTAAGTGTGCTCCCACAGGAGGAGTGCCGCTCAGCCAGAAGCCCTGAGCCAGGCTCATGGCTGGCGAGTGCAGCGGCGGTGGCGGGAGCCTCTCCTGCCTCCACGGCAGTGCTAAGAATGTCCGACTGCCAGCTTCAGCCCTCTCCCCACAGAAGCAGGCCTAAGCTGACAGTCAGACATCCCCCAAGGACTCCCAGACTGCAAGAGGGCGCAGGTTGGGCTGAGGGGACCCCCCCCCCTCCCAGTGCACAAATTCTGTGCACCGGGCCTCTAGTCTATATATAAAAGGCTAATATGCAAAGTGTCCCCTCAGGAGTTCGACTGCTCGCTATGACATACGCTGACCACCAGGGAGCAGCACAGAATGAAGAAAGGCCCCGGCTGGCAACTAGAAGTCCCTGATCGGCCCTGATTGCCAGTCAGGCCTAGGGACCTTACCCATGCACAAATTTCGTGCACCGGGCCTCTAGTAGCAATATAAAGAAGAATCTCACATTTTATGCAGTGGAACAAACATAAGGATAACTGACTTCTGTGAGAAAAAATACAAGTAGAATATATTAGAGCAATATCTTTAAAGTACTAAAAGAAAAGACAATCAATCTAAAATTCTTTACTGAGTAAAAATATCTTTCAAATACAAAGGTGAAAAAAGACAATAGCTAAAAATAATTATCACCAGCAAACACATGTAACAAAATTGTTAAAGGATATCTTTCAAGTAGGAAGAAAGTGACATAAGATAAAAATCTGGATCTACATGAAGAAATGAAGAATACTGGAAATCGTACCTACATGAATATAAAAGATTCTTACTAATTTAAATCCCCTTAAAAATAATCATTTTGATTCACAGATTGCCATAATTTAACCCTGTGAGTGCCAACCAATATCCTAGGTACTATGCTAAAATTGCCAAGGCATTTTTGTTGATTTTACAGCAGTTTAGGAAAAAAATTATGAATCCCAAGTAAATGAAGTTACACAGTCAAAAACTTAAGGAAACCTTTACTACATTTGTTTTCATCTTTAACATATATTGTTAGCTGATTGTATTATAAAATACTAGTAGAAAAAAAAATTTGAACAAAACATATAATGTTAAAATAAAGTGCTCCTGGCACTTTTGGTGAAAGACAGGAGGAGCGTGATCATGCTCCCCGGCACTCTAGGCGTTAATAAAATAATTATTAGTACTATCTTGTACTCTTCATAATAAAATTCACCATTTGTATGTGTTCACATGTTATTATTATTTCAATTACTGCAGCAATACCTCTAAATACAGCAAATTAAAGATTTCAAAAGGAATTACAACTTGAGCTAAGAAATTAGCAATCTGTTCTGATCAATTAGTAACCACAATGTGTTCTCAAAAATGAATATATATGCTCAACAGTTTACTTTACATAAACTGTAATTTCACTTAATACTGTGTATTAAGACAACAGACTCAGATGGCAGAAGCCAAGTACAATCACACCTCAACATATCCCTTCTCTTTGTAAAAAGACTTAAAAGGCTATTGATTTTTCTTTCTGATAAAATATATTTTAACCAAAATGTTGTAACATACTTGTATTGCTATTTAACCATAGCCATTCATTAAAGAATTTATAAAGAAACATATATCCCAGGCATTGCACCATATTATGCCAGGAGCTGGGGATACAAAAATCTCCCTGGCTGGTGTTGCTTGGTGGTTAGAGTGTAAGTCCATGCACTGCAGGATACTGAGTTCAATTCCCAGTCAAGGGTACATACCTGGGTTACAGGTTCGATCCCCACCCTAATTGGGGCATGTGTAGGTCGGGGCACGTGCAGGAGGCAACCAATTGATGTGTCTCTCTCACATGGAAGTTTCCCTCTCTCCCCCTTCCTTCTTTCCACTCTCTCTAAAAATCAATAGAAAAATGTCCTTGAGTGAGGATTTACAACAATAACAAAATCAGTATTATGCTCTTAATAGACAAGTCTAATAGGAACAGGGTGGAAATATTTGTTTTTGAAATGTGATAATATGCTTGAAGTTATGCCTATAGAATGTTTGTTCTATCTTCTCAAGTATCTCAATGTAAAATGGTCCATTTCACCTAAGTTATCAAATTTATATAGAACTGTGCATATTATTCCTTTATTGTACTTTTGATGTCTGCAGGATCTGTAGTGATACCCTGTTTTATTTCTGCTACTGAATATAATCTATTTTCTATATTTTTTTTAATCAATCCTGCTAGAGGTTTATCAATTTTATTGATCTTTAAAAAAAAACAGCACTTTGTTTCATTCATTTTTCTCTAGCTTTTCTGTTGTCAATTTCATTTATTTTTGCTTTTTATTATTTCCTTCCTTCTGTTTACTCTGGTTATGCTATTTTTTTTTATATTCTTAAAGTGAGAGTATAGATTGTTGATTAGAGACTTCTTATTTTTTCTAATTATGATTTTTTAGTGCTATAAATTTCCCTCTGAAATTTAATTAGTCTCAGAAAAAGAATATGATATGGCTACAAGTTTGAGAATAAACAGCAGAAATTTTAAGACAACCAAGTGGAAAACAGAATTACCAAGAAAAGAAAATTTTCAAGGTAAGACAGAAAAATATTCAAACCCAGCTACAAGATTATGGTAATATTCCTAAAACAATTCCTCAAAACAAAATGACTTGGACTGAATGACTTCAAGTAAATGACCATAAAGTCAGGCACATATAAGAAGCGACAACTGGATACATGGAACATAACCCACCAAATTTGCATTACAGATAATGCAAGACAGGGAGCAGGGACGTAGAGGACAGAAAGAGTTTCAGAATCTGATTTTTCCAGTTAGTACTCTCAGATGAATTGCTTTACTACTCCATCAATTTCACAGATTCCTAAATGCTGCCCAACAGGAGCGGAGGCTGTGCACATGTGAAGGATAACTATAGAACCATCAATTTCATTTGAGTTACCCCTCCATGGAAAAATGGTAATTTTGAATATAATGTATGAAAGAATATCTTTTTTGCTTACCCTCTGAGCTTTTGCAAGTTCTTCTTTCAATCTTTCATAGCCCTTTTCTCTGACTTCCAAAACAGATGGGCTTCGTAAACGGGACAGACTTTCTGTACTCAACCCGAATATATCATCACTGCCATCACAAGCTTCTGTTATAGTAGCACCCTGCAAAAACTCCCTCTCTGCACTACAGTTGTCCTTTCTCGTAGTTAATATCGTTAACCCAGCCGTTACTCCAGAGGTAGAACAAGGTGCTGGGTCTGTAACATGGATGCTGTAAAGGAGAGTTCAGGAAACATCAGCATGTGCTTAAATATAACTGGCATAAACACAGGTCTAGAAACGCTCAGGTCATAAACAAACTGGTCTATCCAATTTGGTAGCCACTATATTAGTTAACAGCATGTTCTCGGTCAAAGCTAACGTATTCTAAATCCTAATACCCACATGTGGCTAATGGCTATCACATTAGCACAGAAACAGAACATTTTCTTCATCACAGAAAGTTCTATTGGATAGTGCTACTCTGAACAGAGGTCAGCAAACAAAACAGGTTAAATCCAGCATGCTGCCTGTTTTCATAAGGCACACAAGCCAAAAATTATTTTTATATTTTCAAATGGTTGAGAAAAATCAAAATAATATTTTGTGGCACAAGAAAATTGTATGAAATTCAAAACTCGGTGCCCAAATATAAAGTTTTATTGGAGTTATTCATTTACATCATACTGCCTATGGCTGCTTTTGTACTTTAACAGCAGAGTTGAATAGTTACAATAGAAAATGGATAGCCCACAAAGCCTAAAATATATTGATTACCTGGCCCTTTCCATAAAGTTTGCTGACCCCTGATGTTGAGTATTAACATGTATTGCTCTTCATGACAAGCTTATATGATTCAAGTTTTTGAAAACATTAAAACTTAAAATAAGGTAACCAAGCAAACTGTCCATTTGTTTAGTACAATACTCCAAAATAAGCATATTGATGATCTCCTACCTGATACCAGATATTTCCGTACAATTTAAACGTCTGGGGGATGAATATACAGGCTGTGTAGGAAGGTCGGAGACATCTAAGGCATTAGCCTGGATAGGGGCAGAGCATAAAGATGAAGGGAGAGGCCGGTAGATGACACCTGGTGAGGTAGTCGGCTCTTGAGCTCCCGATTCATACACGCCAAGAAGGTCCGGAGAAGTAGGTGAAGCAAGGTTTACTTCATGGAAGCCTTCCAAGGGGTCATTAGCCATAGTAAAAGCCTCATCATAAGATAACCTATTGTTAAAACAGAAAGAAGATAATTATTCTGAGATATTGTCATTTAAAATTAAATTACAATGTATAACTATAAGTATTTAATGGTCCATTGTAAAGTATAAACTTACAATAAAAGAGGTAGCAAAGAAAAATAATTATAATCATTTAACATTTATTAAGTGACCTCAGAGTACAAATGCTACAAAAGGCTAACAATCTGATTTGGAATGAACTTGAGAGTGATAGCTAATACTGTTAAAGCGAGTAATAAGCAACAACGAGAAATAATTAAAATTTTGCCTGATATTTTTAACTTTGCTATCATATGACATTGGTTAGAATAAATAGAAGAGGCAGTAAAATACATATATATAGAATGAGACAGACCTAAGTTCAACAATCTGTTCTATTCTGCTTCATACTGGCTATGTGACTTTGAATGAGTCAGTATTTTCTCTTGTTTATTTTGAAATCATTTCCAATTTAATAAGAGCTGCAGAGCTATTATATGCCTTTCACAAAGATTATAAAACTGTTAACATTTTGGAACCATTTAAGAATAGATTTCAGACATGATGCCCATTATCCCTTAATATCACACTGTATATATCCTAAGTACAAGGACAATCTCCTCTTTAACCACAAAACCATCATCAAAATCAGAAAGTTAATGTTGATCAATATTACCATCTAATCAATAGGCCCAATCAAATTTCACTGGCTATCCCAATAATGTCCTTTGTTGTCCTAGGATCTCATCCAGGATAATGTATGACATTTCTCTAAGCCTGAAATTTCTCCTCTGATGGGATGAGAATGGGGATAACAATATTTCCTCCCTTCTCCAAGTTGCTGTGAGGATTAAGGGAGACAATCCACAAAAAATACCAGTGTGCTATGTATCTGGCACACAGTATGGCCTAAATAAACATTTGTCACCATAGTCAGCCACTAACAATAACATGTATGCTTCAGTTTCTCCATAAGCAAAAAATATTTCCCATAACTACTCAATTACATCACAGAGTTCACATGAAAACTAAAAAGTGTGCCACTTAAAATTTTCTACCTGAAGGATCTAAAATAAGTCTTACAAATCTTTTACTAATTTCCTACTGTCTAGAGAATAAAGTCCAAACTTACTAGCTTAAAAATCTGGGTCTTCTATTATCTGAACCAAACTTCTTTCCAATTTTTTCCTCCCTATAATAGCTAATGCATATAACACAGGACAGCACCTCTGAGCAGTGCCTCTACCCACAATGTTTTCATTCTGGGGTGATACATTTAATCATAGTTTAAATTCAAGATATAGCTCTAAATTTCTTCATTAACTATTACAAAAACTCAATTCATTAAGCTGAAAATTTTTACTTTCTCATACTCTTAATAAAAAGTGTTCAGCCCTGGCTGGTGTGTCTCAGTGAACAGGGCATCGATTTCCCAGTCAAGAGCACATACCTGGGTTGCAGGTTTGATCTATGCCAGCTCCCAGGGTGCAGGAGGCAACCAATCGATGTGTCTCTCTCCCCCTCTCTCCCTTCCACCCTCTCTAAAAAAATCAATGGAAAAAATATCCTCAATGAGGATTAACAAAACAAAAAAAGGCGGACAGACATGAAAGCTAGACTTTTTCAAACTGACCTTGTCTTGCAGATTTAAATTTTAGCTTGGAACCATGTAAATAATAAAACAAAATTAAATATTAAAAAAGAATTCCTAAAAATGAAACAAATGAATCTAGCTGTGTATTGAGACGGTAGCTTAACCACATAGAAAAAAAGCTATAGCAAATGACTTAAAACAGTAATAAAATTGTATATCCCTAGTGGAATATATTTTATGGACAAAAGGAAATGAAAAATATCATGATCTATTTTCAGTAATCCTATTAGTAGTAATGCTGATATTGCTATTCTGAAACTATTATATCTAAGATTAAGCAAATAAATTATTATGTTAATGTCATTCAGAACTAAGATTTTTAGCATATAAGAGACACAAACATAAAACCAAAGAAGTTAAAATTCTGAAGTCCTAAATTTTAACCAGAAATATCGGAAAAGAAATTCCATTAAAAAAATAATTCCAAACTTTATCCACTGAAAAGGTGTAGCAATAGTAATCAACTCAGGAGCAATGAGTACCCCTTGTGCCAAGAGTAATATCATCTCCACCTAAAAAAAAAAAAAAGGAAAAAGAAAGAACAAGGGCTCCTTGGAGAAATGGCTGATTCGAGGCCCAGGGCGGTAATGGACAGAAGGTCCCTGGAACATCTTGTCCTACAAGGAAACAAGAAAGCAAGAAATCTATCCAAGACTACTGGCGTGGTGCCAAAAAGACTCCCACTAACCAAAAATGGGGCCATCTGAACATCAAAAAGGATAATATCTGTAAAGAACTGAAACAAAACATTTTTAAATACATTAGCTCATGAAATAACGTGTCTAGGCAATAACTATCAAGAGCTATTAAAACTCGAAGAGAACTTAACTAGTATAACTGATGGATCAGAATGATAGTACTTGAAGAATACCTTTATCTCAAAAAGGGAGAAAGTCAAACATTATGAGGATTATGTGATAAAACAGGAAATGAATACCCCCACCATCCATGAAGCATTCTTGCCCCTTGGTGGGGGAAGGGACCCCAATCCAATCACGTGTCTAAGTTTTCATCAGTTCATAGGAAATACAAAGGAGAGAGGAACATATTAAATAGCATCATAAGGATGAAAACAGTAAAATCTAGACTTTGGGAAACTCTACTTGACAAACCACCTGGTTTTTTCAATAAATATACTGGGGTAAAAAGTAAAGGGAATTATAAATTTAAAAAAAGTCTGAAGAGACTACAATAACTACATACAATGTGTGGACCTTTTCTGAACTGTTATTTGAATAAACCAAATGTAAAAACAAACATTATGAGACAATCAAGGAAACCTAAATACTAGTTATTGCTAATATTATAAATTATTGTCAATTTAGGGATAATAATGGTAATATGGTTATGTAAAAACTCCTTATCTTTTAGAGATACACACTTAAGAATTTATAGATGAAATAAGATTACTTGTATTTGTTTCAAAACAATCCGTGGGGAGAGGGAGGGAATAAGGAGCTGAGTCATCCAACTACCAGTCCCAATCACACAGAGATTATAGAGCAGTTTCTCCCAAAAAGCAGCTAGTATATATTGAGCACTTACTAAATGTCAGGTATAGTTCTAGTACATTACAGTTAAGGAAACTGCAGCTTAAGGTAACCAGAATTAAAATCTAAGTCTGTCGGACTCCAGAGTGCAAACTCTTACCCACCACAACACACTACCACCATGAGAATTGCTTTGCCGTTCCATTGTTAGACCATTCGATGAAAAGTGTTTCTCCTTAAGCTGAATTAAAATCCTTCATCCCTGCAACATCCACTCTATTTTCCCTATATATAACATAACATTTCAGTTATTCTTTCAACAAGTGTTTATTGAGGGCCTACAATGTACCAGGCTCTGGGGAAAGATGATGATAAATCATCTGTTTCCAAACAGTATCAATATAGTAGGAAAAACTGACAAGTAGAGAAAATGATACGTTGTGGTAAGTGCCTCAGAAGATGCACAAGTACTAAGAAACCACACCAGAGGGGCAAATAAATCAGGTGGAAAGGACTTCCAGAGAAACTAAAGCTGAAGACAAGACCCAAAGTACAAGTAGGTAGTAATGAAGAACAAAGCCTTGGAAAGGCTTGCCATGTCCAAGGTGTGAAAGCAAAGCGTTTATAGAAAATGCAAATATGCCATAAATTGGAGCACAGGCTTTGAACATAAGAAGCAAGCCTGAAAGAGGCAGGTTGGAATTCTGCTTCTGACAAATTACTGGGCCAGTTTGGGCCTAGGTTCGCTCATCTGGAAATCTGTACCTTGCTTTTCTACCACACACAGATGAGAATGACAAGAGATAATGCATATAACACTAGAGCACCTCTGAGCGGTGCCTCTACCTACAATGTTTCACTCTGGGGTGATACATGTAATCATAGTTTAAATTCAAGACACTTGTGCAAAGGAGATTATTTTAAGATTAAATTTAGTCCTTTTTTTCAAGCATGTGAAATTTTCGTAAAATGTAATTTATATGGTAAGGAGCTAATAATCACACTGGTCTGAAAATCTTTTGCTCTTCAAAATATATGGAAGCTTTAAGATTTTATAACCAAAGTTCTTATATGAGTAATATAAACTGCTATTTTTAAGCAGTACTCTTTGCATTAAGTAATAAGTAATTCAAAAAAAATCTAATTTCAATTGGAGATTACCCCAATTCATAAACTAAACTTGTCAAGGATCATTACAGATATGTGAAAAAAGTTAACCATGTTAAATTCTTATGGGTGATTTACCAACACAGCTTGGGTGGCTTTATTATTATTATTCAGTTTCAAGCAATAAAGCTGATTTCCAATCATAAGGAAAAGCTGCTTACAACAATTTTTATTTCTGATCCCCAATATGCATTTCGTATTATTTCTTCTTTCTAGAAGTCAGTATTATCACAAAAAAACAGCAGCTAATATTTACTGAAAGTTAACTATGTGTCAGATACTTTTGCTAAGAATTTCACATGTATTAACTCACTTAATTTCTAGAAAAACCCTAAAAACTTTTTATAAAATTTATCCTAATTAAAATGAATTTTCTAATTGCAAACAAAAGGCATCCATAGGGCAACACAAGAAATCTAGATGAACTACAAGTTCAGTATTTTCAATTAAACATCTAAAGGACATGGGTAAATAGATACACATAATAAATGAAATTTAAAAACTCAAGTTAGTAGATCAGTAGTCCAAAAAACAAATAAAATCTATTCCACCACAATGTAAAACACATTTTTCCCTTTATTTGACTTACCTTGACAAGTGGAAAACATAGGATTTACTTGCAGGAAAAAAAGAAAACATTTTAAGGCTGTAATTTTTATCTTTTACCTCATCAATTTAGCATTTAAAATGTAAATA